GGAAAGGGGGTAAGACAGTACTTACTTTGTGTAGTGACTGCATTAACCCATGGATACAGGCTGAGCCAACACTGCATCTCTGGCAGCTGTGGCGAGAAGCCCTGAAAGCCAGATGACCCACCCCCATGGGCCAGATTTGGCCTGTAGGCAATAAGTTTGACTCCCCTCACCTAGAACAAGGCTTGTCCATTTGTAGGTGTTGCTTGCTATTTCACAGGCAGAGAAGGGAGGACTATCAGCAAAAGAAGATAGTTGGAATGATGTACTGCTTTCATAGTATGAACTGCCTACTATCTATGTCCTGGAGAGGGAGGAAGAGGAACACCTGCATCACTTCAGAAGAAGTCAGGTGGCATGGGAACTTTTGAAAAAATCCAGGAAAAGAGATGGTAAGTTGGCTTCAGTTGCATGCAATGAATCTGATCCCAAACTTAATTTCTCTCTTGACTTGCAGATCTCTAAAAAGCTGCTAGCCCTATTCATCCGCTTCAGCTATTTACATGGGCAGTCTCCATTTTCTCCTGATGGCAGATAGAATCATAGAAAATTAGGGCTGGAAGGGACCTCAGGGGGCCATCTAATCCAACCCCCTGCTCAAAGCAGGACCATCCCCAACTAAATCATTCTACCCAGGGCTTTGTCGAGCTGGGCCTTAAAAACCTCCATGGATGGAGGTTCCACCACCTCTCAGGCCCGTGAAGTGAGGGGGCCACATCACAGATTAAGTTGTCTTTCTCCTACTTAATTAATACTTTCACAGTAGAAGATTCTTCCTGGCTCCCAAAACTTGTAAGAAGGAATTTAAGATAGAAACACATGCTGGGATCCCTCCTGGCAATAAATGAATAAACTAGGCAAGTTGCTACTTAGGGAAAGGAAAGGAACTCAAAGTCAATTTTATTGTATATGACAGACTTGAGTTCTTTAGGCCATGGACAGACCTAAACACACTTCCAAGTGCCTCTGAAGCACTACATTCAGTGAGAGTATAGATGTTCATGGTTGAAGCAGTGCTTCAGAAATGACCCTCAAAGTGCTTCAAATGCAACTGCTAGTACACTTACAGTGCTTACACAAGTTACATTTCTTGGGCAATCGGGCCCTTGAAAGCCATGATGCAACACGTGCACGTGTGACATAACACACGTGAGCGACTGCCAGCCAACTAAGCTAAATACTAATAAAGAGACTAGGGGGATAAGGAGTGTCATTGTATGTTTGGATCTTGCAAACTTCCTAGTATCAAAAGTGGGCAAAAGTTAAGAAGTTGTTAATTTACAGAACTGTTATGCTAACTGCTTATTAAAATACAAGATTATGCAAAGAAAATGTGATTTGTTTGAAAGAACTGGGAACTTCAAGGCCATTTTAACATAAGATAAAGAGGTGTTCCTGGGCAATAAATTGGGAAATACTCCCATTTTCCAGAATGCTCCAATTATTATCTGTTTATCAGTACAAAAAATACTGATTGCCAAAATACTAGGTTTAATTTAATTAAAAACATTTCACCAAGGATATTTTGATGCACTCATTTCTTAAAATTCTTTTAGTTGGTTAGTATAAAATGGACCCTCATATGAACAGAAACATATAATAAATTAAATATTCCTGCCCGATTCAGAAATATTTCATTGAGACACTAGATAATGCAATTAACCTAATGCAATTAGAAAGCAAAATAAATCTTAACTACATTCAATTCACGGCTTGTAGTAATTTGCTTGAAAAACACATATGTCTAAATTTTTATTGTGAGGCATAGATTTCTTATGCCTCATGTCTGTTAATTCTAAAGCTCAAACAGGTGTTTGAAACATTGATTTACTAGGCTAGCATAATTGATTTGCACACTTGGTATCTGCAAAAGCAATTGCTCTCTTGGCAACAGAAATACAAACCTTTCCAAAGCAGAAAAGTTTTAATTTGGTCCTTTAACTTTCCTTACTAATTTCTAATATTGCTTCCTTCCTTTTCTCCTTTTTTTCTTGACTATAATTTACTGAGACAAATATCCCAATTCAAAAAACCACCTCGATTCAGAACAACACTCTAGCATATGCTTAAATATTCTCCTGAATAAACTGTCACATAAGTGCTTTCATGAAGTGGAGGCTAAATTCCTTCTTAAAATGGTGACACATATAGTAGGCTATGCAGTAGCTACTTCACAGACTTATCGTAAGGGCATCATAGTCATTTTGGGGTTCAACCATCTCTTGGTAACTTGCTTGAAGAAGCATTTCTATCATTTAAGCCATTGTTAATACTAGCTATTCTACTTTGTTCAGTCTTCCTGCTGCTTCTGCTTGTAGTTCACATGCCAGATTTTATAACCATCTATAGGTGTGCACCGATAAAGAGTTTTTTTGGCTGATACTGATGGCTGATTTTTAACCAACCATATCAGCTGATACCAATCCAATTGCTGATATGCAACCCCGCAGCTTGGAGACCAGCATCTGGCTGGTAAATCTGTGGGGGAAAGGGGCTTGGGGGAGGGGGCAGATGTAGGCCCCTATGGTGAAAGAGGGAATGGGGCTGGGGCAGGCACTCCCCAGCTGGGGTGGGGGCAGGGCACATGCGGCACATTCAGGGGGCATGGAAGGGGGAGCAGCTCCTGGCCGCTGTGTGCACCCCCAGGGGAGGCATGACCCCCGGATCTGTGTGTGGGGTGAGGGTGGGTGCTTGCTGCGGGCCTGGGGCTGGAGGCTGGGTCAGGGCTGTGCTTGGGGCAGGCAGGGTAGATGGCAGTGGTGCTGGTAGGGGTGGCTACGGGGTGGGCTACAGCCACCCCAAAATTCATTGTAGCCCCCCATAGCTACCCTGGGTGATTGCACAGTGGCTAGGAGCTGCCACCCCCACCCCACCATGCCCCCCAGACAAGCCACCCATGGCTCTGTCCCACACTCCACCCTGCCCAGCTGGACAGCACCTGCCCCTGCCCCAGCTCCACTCCCTTCCTCACCATGGGGGCCTCAATCTTCCCCCTGCCAATGCCTCTTCCCTCCACAGACTTACCGACTGGATGCTGGTCTCCAAGCTGCCAGGCTGCATTCCTGGCTGCATGCATAGATGTGGCATTTATTGGTGGCATTATCAGCTGCACCGGTCAAAATCCGATACATCATTGCACCTCTAACTATCAATCTCAGGTCTCACTGTGAAAACCAAACATTTTGTACTTCAAGAAGGTTGCCTCTTCCAAATTAAAACTACATAGGTGACTTAAGGATGACCTGAAATTTAACCAAAAATCTAGGTTTTGAAGAAAACATCTCAATGCTTATCAGAAAAGAGAAACTTTCCTGGAAGATAAAGTCATACACGTATTTTGCTTGACTTTGAAATAAGAAATTATAACATTGCTGCCTCTTTGCAAAAGAGAAAAGCATAAAAAAACCCCCTTAAAACAGTTATGCCATTTTTGCATCAATTTTGCAGTAAAGGTTGTTTAACCAATGATAAATTTAAATTAAAAAAACATTCTGTTAAAAAACAGCACTTTGATGTTTACATTTTGTGCATCAGTGAAATACAAAACTTGAGGAAAAAAACCTGAAAATGCAGACTTAAAGTATATTTTAACTTGTAGCTTAGCTTGCCTATTAGTTTCCAGGAAAATATTATTGAAAAAATATTTCAAGCAGTATTTTGATCTCCATATCTTTTAAGATTACCAGATTTTGTACTTGGAGACCTCTGCCTTAGTTTCAGTGAATTCAGGGTTGGTGCACTCATCTGAGAAAAAAAAGGGCTTGGCTTTAAAGAAAAAGAATAAATCGGTAAGAAAGCCGTCTTCAAGTTACCTCTAAAGGTGGCATTTTAATACATCAAACTAAGTTTTGTGAAGAAAAGAAAGCATTTTTCATATACTGCATTTGACTACCTGTTATTGTTGACCACACAGAAGTGTTTTACCTTGTATATATTGAGAGATCATCCTCTGAAGGAACATCTGAGAGATTAATCCCGTAAACATCTTTCATGGACTGGACTACATTCTGGAACAAAACAGTACATCTTTAGACATAGGATACTAGCTAGGAAAGTAATTCATCAGAAATAACTGACTCTTAGATCAGAAAAAAGTAACTTTTAATAAATATAAATCAACCAAGTCTTATTTGAACTCCCTTGCCAATCTTTCTAGATTTATGCTAAATCTAGTAAGTCACCTGTCATATTCTTCAGTTTATTAGCAATAGGCACCAGATCCAAATCAGTCAACAAAAAGTCACAACAAATGATTTAGCAATCCTTTTCCCAGCAGCTCTAAAACCATTTAGGCACCCATCTCCATTAGATGCCTCCATTTTGGCCTGAGAAAATTTCTTGGCACTTACACATGTGGGGAGCCTGCTCCAACACACTGGAAATCCAGCATGTTGGAGCAGACTCAATTAATCAAGTCTGCCGGAGCATGTAAATTGATGGGCTCTGGCAGCCTCGCATGTCACGTGTATCAGTGGCCCAGTGCATCTCTGCACTGAGAAAATGGCAGTGGTGAACTCTGAAATAAAACACATTCGATGTGCTTTAGTTCAAAGCACCCTACCACCATTTTCTCAGCGCAGGAACACACTGTGCCGCTGATACACACAACGCACACGTGCTTTCAATTAGTGTGGCTTGCTAATTAAAAGCACTTCAGGATCATGTGTAAAATCACCCCTAGACACAGGCTTCTTAACATGCTCAGAAGTTATCCAAATTGATCAGCTAGGTGCTTAGCTCCTGAATAAGCTCCACTGCAATCCAGACTGGAGCTGGAAAAGAAGCTAATAATCTCTGCCCATGTCCAGCAAAGCTCCATCTGTTAAGTACCACAGAGAATGCTTAACTCACACTGGCAACAATCAATTCAGTACAAAAGTACTACCACTATCACTCTCACTTGAAAATGTTAGTGTTGAATGTGTCTACTTTTTGGATAGCAGACTACTGCTTATTTTGCATAATCACCTATATATTAGAGCAGGGGGTGGCAACCTATGGCTTGCAGACTCATTTTATCAGCCCTGTGGACCTCAGGGCTTTGGTAGTGTTTCAGCAACACAGCTTCTTCAGGCAGCAGGGAGAAGTGATGGCAGTGGCATTGCAGCGTGAAACGGTGGCTGAAGCTGCAGCAGTGCTGATAGCATCGGCCAGGTTGGAACACTAGGAGCTAAACTTCTCTGAAATGGCTCCCTGCTTCAAAATGTTGACAACCCTTGGATTAGAGCATTCACCTAAGAACTGGGAGATCTGGCTTCTACGCTCTTAGACTGAGGGGATTCAAACTTTATAACTCCTGCTTTCCAGGAGAGCACTCTAACCACCATGTTATAGACTGAGCTGTCTAACAGCTGCCATGGTTGTTTCTTTAACCAATGCCTATCTAATATCAAATGCATAAACAGTCCTGACACTAGGGACTGGAGCTTGTAAGGGCCTAGAACCTGGATCTCCCACCACTTGGATAACAACTCTAACAACGGATGGGTACTACCAACACCAGTCACTGAGGTGCCCACTACGGCTGTGCAAAGCTTCGGTTGCTGATTCGATTCGGCGGCCAAATCTTCAAATCCAAATCCAATCAGGAGATCCTTTAATCTCTACAAATTGAATTGGAACCCTCTGACTCAATTCGGAGAGATTTGATGATTCGCACGTAGCCACAGCTTTAAATGTTTTTTCTACATACCTCAAGGCACCATGCAGCTCATGAACGCTGAGATGGTGGGGTGGATGCAGCGTCCTACGGAAGCGCAGGGGCCATCCCCGCGCACTCAGCGGCAGAACCAGAAGCACTTCCGATCCACCGCAAAGCATGCGGAGGACCTCCACTCCCGGCTGAGATGAACGCTGAGATGGTGGAGTGGAAGGAGCATCCTACAGGAGCACAGGGAGGGCCCCCCCACCCCGGCTCAGCAACTAGTGCCTGCTAGGCCTGCGGGGGCATCCGGGGTCCCCCTGCAGCCAAGCACCCAGCTGGGGGGGAGGGTGTGTGTGTGGGGGGGGGAGGGGAGACGACAAACTCAGAAGTGGACTGGAAGTACTTCTGGTCCACTTCTAGGTCCACTGCTGAGCACGTGGGGGTGGGGGGCCCTCCCTGTGCTCCTGTGGGATGCTCCTTCCACTCCATCTCAGCGTTCATGAGCCATGCCTGGTATCTCAAGGTATGTAGAAAACACATTTAAAGCTGTGTCTATGGTCAAATTGCTAATTCTCTGAATCAGCATTGAATCTTCAGGTTCAGATTCAGCCGAATCAAATAGGGACAGTGATCCAAATCAATGAATCGAATCACTGTCCCCTGAATCGGGCCAAATCCAAATCTGAATCGAATAAGGCCTGCTTCACACACCCCTAGTGCTCACCCCACAGGTCACTCTACATCTCAAGTTGATAAAGGTTGTTAAATGTGGAGCCTTAGTCAAGCATCTATACTACTGAGAGGTGTAGTACAGAGACACTCCTACATCTAGTGTTTCCTGCTGGCTAATTGTGTGTGCCTCAGCACTCTTAAATCATCCTTCAGAGCTGCTTAGCCCTTCCCACTGACTAAAAAGATCCTAGGTGGGCTGAAGCTTAAATGGAGGGGCTTACAAGGCCAATCTGGATCTGGCTTTATCAGCATTATCAGCACCTACCAAATAGGTGCTTAAAATGGTCACAGTCCAACCTAGAAGTTTTTCCTTTTTGAATACTAGCTGTATTTAAGTTATTTTTCAGTGAAAAAAGCAATGTCTTCTACTGGACTAAGAATGTGCTAGTTACAGATAAGCCAGTTTAAGTCACATACAACAGACAGCATTTAAGTGGCTTTATTTCTCCCAGCTTTGCCACATTTGAGTCAAATATCATCATTCAAATCTCTAATCAAATAAATAACCGATTCTTGTGACAACAGTATTCACTGAATAATATATTCAAAGCATGAGCTTTAAAGTATGAGAAAGATAACCTTTAAATTATTAATTATATCAGCAATTCATTGATACTTTGATCTAAGTCAGCCATTTTCAAAATACATAAAACTTCACATCTAATGAGCACATTAGTACTCATTTTGTATAAATAATATTTTTTGATTATCTGAATACTCTGCAGAAGATCCTGAAAATACAGTAGGAAGACAAAATGCCAAACACAGAGGTGCTGGCGTGCACAGGACTGACACACTTAGAAACCACTATCAAGAACAGGAGGTTGCAATGGCTAGGCTATGTCAGAAGAACGGGAGGGGACTGTATCCCTAAGAATATTTTGTACAGCGAGATTCAAGACAGCTCTAGAAAGCGGGGTCGCTCTCTATGGTGACAACATGATGCATGCAAAACGATCAAGTTGTTCAGCATCAGTGTAGAAAGCTGGGAGAAACACGCAGAATCTTATCTGATATGGAGGGAACATCTGGCACTGGGTGCAGGCTCAATATGAAGCAGCTTTGATTCAGAGGATGGAACCAAAGTGAGAAAGAAGAAAGCGTGCTGTAAATGTTGGCTTGAAAACACTATTTAAAGGTGTTTTTGGGGGAATTGGCTTATAGGTATAGATATATGCATTATAAAGGTTCAAGATGGGCAGGAGGGGTTAATTGGATTTCTAAGAGCTTGGGAGACATGCACACAGCTTCTCATGGCCTTGAAAGCGGGCGGGCTGTCTAGCACAACAAGGGCAACGGATGGACACTAGGGCTGTACGAAGTTTCGGGTGCTGATTTCATTCAGAGGAGATTCAGCAGCCAAATCTCCAAATTGAATCGGGAGACCAATAAAAAGGTCCAATTCCATTCAAAGCCTCCAAATCAATTTGGAAAAGATTCAGAGAAAGATTTGGAGATTTGGGCAATCCCTATTTGCCACCACAGGGAGCTAGACCTGGACTCCGTGCAGGTAAGTAAGGGGTGGGGAAGGGCTGGAGGAGGGGGGGCAGGGACCATGGGGGGGACCCCTGCCAGGTCCCCTCCCCTGCCTGCTCCCCCAGCTCCCCTGAGAGCCCCCTGACCCCTGCCTGCTCACCGAGCCCCATCAACGGCAGCCCTGCCTGGCCCCAGCGTCCCGGCTCTTAAAAAAACAACAAACTGCATTCACCAGCTGCTACAGCGGCTATCAGGGCTTCTGGGGGCCCCATGGCAGAGCCTCCCCATGCAGCGCAGGGCAGTGGGGATCACCTCCACCTGGCAGGAGCCGGTGAGCTTTTTTTTCACAGGGGTTGGGCAGGGCAGTCATTGATGGGGCTGGGAGAGCGGGCGGGGGGTGGGGCCTGTTTGATTCAGAGTTGGCAGCGGCCGAATCTCCGAATCGATTCGGGACAGTGATCTGAATCACCAAATCGAATCACTGTCCCCCGAATCAGCTGAGTCCAAATCCAAAGTGAATACTAGCTGCTTCGCACAGGCCTAATGGACACAGCCTGAGAACTGAGGGGGGGCATACCATAACATGAGATCTGAGCCTTCAAGGCACACGGGTTGTCTAACACAACAAGGGGACAGACTGGGAACCAAAGAAGTATGTACCATACTGTCCCATAAAGGAAGATAAGTGACACCAGCAACAAAGCCTCAGAGAGCAGAGGGGCCTAAGTCCTGGTTTTGAGGGAACAGACCAAATTAGGAGAAGGCACAGAAGGCTATGTGGATGTGTGACAGCCAACCAGAGATAGCCACAGATGAAGAGTCATCAGGAGTCATCAAGGGGGAAGGAGACTACAAAAGCAGAGACTTGAGATTAACAAAGGGTCCCTCCTATCCCTTTGTTCGTCCCTCCATGTTCCTTCTTGTCCCTCCCCTTCCTCCCTGTTCCTCTCCGTCTTGTTCCCTGAGAGGGGTTCCCATCCCGTTCCCCCGGGAAGGGTCCCTGAGGCCACCATGGACAAAGGGCATACCAGCAGCCTGTTTCATGCAACCTACTGAAGGTGGGCTGTGGGCCTTGGCATCCCACCTCCAGACTGCTGACACCTAAGAAAGAGACCCTTTGAATGGAGTCTGCATCCTGACCTTTGGACCTTTTAG